GTGTCTCTTCGTGTAATACGTTCGTAATAGTGTGNGCTACGAAGTAGTTAGTACGGNGTGGCGNGCGCGGNGGCGCAGTGCGGAGGGGTGCAGCGCCGGNGGGGCGACGGTGGCGAGGGAGCGGACGGCGGAAGCGGCCGACGGCTGGACCGACGAGCGCTGGAGCAGCGGCCGCAGCGTGGCTGCCGTGGAGCGGTGCAGCATGGTCAAAGAGGTGGTCGGGGCCGCGCGCCTTTTGCTGCTATCGAGGCGGAGCTCGACGGGATCAGGAGGAGGTGCAAAAGTTGGGCGAGGGGAGGGCGAAAGGAGCGGCGAGCGGGTCTGCCGACGATGCCAGACAAGGAGGTCGTCGGGATGATGCCGATCTGAGTGGGGTGCAAAGGACAAAGGTCGAGGGACGGTGCGGTGGTCGAGAGGCAACGAGCACCGCCAACGTCCGCTTTCTTCTCGAGCAAGCCCCGTGGCCTGCCTGCTTGAGCCTGCAAACCTACCGCTGCAGGCCTGGCCTGGCCTGGGCCTGGCTGCCCGCGTGCCTCTGGCCTGGCTTTCCCGTCCACGCAAAATCGGCCTGTCCCGGCCATGTCGTGCTTTCGACACGCAGGCTGATTGGAATTGCCACAATGCCCGATTCCATGACCCCCGATACCAAGGCCAGGACGTTGGGTGGGGGCACGCCTGGCAAGGCGAGGGGTTGGCCGCCCACGCCTCGCTCTGTGCGCCGACCACGGCCGGCCACCTGCGCCGAGAGCGTAGGTTGCCTTGCGCCCAACCACCATGCATCCCGACCGCCCTCTGTCGACGCCCTCGTCCCCCTCCCCCCTGGCACCCTCTAAAGATGACCGCAGGGGCGGGCCACTTGCCAGGCACAAAATCCCCGCAGGACGCCGCCCCAAGGATGACTGCAGCGTAGTGCCACGACGATGCGACAACCGACGCAGACAGAGCTGCGACCCATGCATCTCGACCCTTCGGCCCCACCTGGGTTGCTGCACGGCTCGTGGGCGTTGCCGCTGCCGGCATTCAGATCCTTGCAACTACTGTACCAGTACGGCTACCATTGCGGCTTCATACGCCAGATCGAGCGTGGCGACGACGACCCAAGACAACGCGATTCCCTAAATGGGGAGTCAAAGCCGCTGACGATGACGAGCCGTTGCACGATCTGGCATGCTAGCAGACAGAGCACGGCCCGACTTCGCACCTCCCGCCTCGTCGCACATTATTGACATGGATCCATTGATTGGCCCGTCATCAGCCTCTGACCCTATCCGCTCGGTGCAGAGAGTGCTAGCCCGCCGCGCCCCGGATCGACAACGAGAGCGCCCTTGACCACGGCAGGAGCACCCAGCGGCCTGCGCCTTTCGAGCAACGGCGAAGTTGGGTGGACTGGACTCAGTGCCAATTGTACGGCGCAATAGATCGCTGCTGCTCTGTGTCTGCGGTCTCTACATCAGGGCCCTTGCCCCTAGACCATCGGCCTTGAACAGACAGAGATGCGCAGCGCCATGCGACGTCGTCGGTGCGCATGCCGTGCCGCCTTCGATGTTGCTCGCAACGTAGGGCTCGCCGTGCGCTGCCGCGCTACCGTGTCGATGGTCCCCTCGGCACGAAACGATCGGATGTTGGGTGGGCGCGGGTGATGACTAGCAGCGACGGCGGGGCATGCAATGGCCCTGGCCGGGGCGCCGCCCCGAGCAGGAGCGTCGGTCGACTCTCCGCCACCATGTCGTTTGCGATGGCACGCCCACAGGCTCACCTCACACGCCCCGGCGATGGGGCAGCACCAGCACCCGGTGCAGCAGCTTCGTGGGCCTGGCAAGAGCCTCTGCAGCGCCACTCCTTCCCCGGCGAAGCCTTAAAGGGAGGCGCTTGCCTTCCAGACCTCGACCTGGCAATCCATCTTGCCGACATACCCTCGCTCCACTAATCTTCCTCGTCCCTCCCCACGGATAGGTGCCTGGCGTATCCTTTCCACCGTGACCGACAACCCTCGACCCCGTCCTAGACCCGCCGTCGACCTTCTTTCCCCACTTTTCCTTCCCTTCCCTTGCAACATGCGCGGCCCTGGCTTTGGCCCCGTTGTCCCCCTGCTTGCCATCCTGGCGATGGCGATGCAGGCTCACTCGCACCTCACCGACTCGCCGTTTGCTCGCCGCGGCCTCCATGCGAGCGTCATCCGCAGCAAGCGCGACGTTGCGCCGTTCCCTGCCAGTCTGGTCCGGAACAAGTGCGTCGCCGACATCGGCTGGATGGCCAAGCCGTGGGCCTGGGAACCCACCGTCAAGCAGAACATCGCCTGCAACGTGGTGGTCAATGCCGACATCCAGAAGGCCGAGTGCATGTCCAACAGCCGGTAAGTAGCGGTCGGGGCAAAGCGGGGCGAGGCAGGGCGGGGCGACTGACGGCGTACCGCTGCCCTCGGACCCCACCTCGACAGCATCATGAACAACGTGTTCGCCGTCTTTGTGCCCAATGCCGTCGGCGACCAGAGCTGGCGCTCCGAGGGAGGCATCTACGGCATGTGCTACGCCTACAACTGCATCCCGCCCGCCGAGGTCTTCGCCGAGGCGCCCAACGAGAACTTTGCCTGCGGCTTCTGGCTCGACGGAGAGAAGCCCAAGTACGGCTACATCCCTGCGACACTTCCCGGCCTCACCCGCACCATCGAGCCCATCATCTGCCCGTCGAAGAACCACTGCTACTCGCAGAACTGGTACGACAACGGCGGAAAGCTGCACGCGCTCGCCAGCACGGTGACGGACAGCTGCGAGGTGTGGTTCCCCGTCAAGGACTCGCAGCACAAGGAGACCTGGTGCCACGGCGTCGGCCTCGGCTGCCCGACCCCGACCTATCTTGAGCTCGTCTACGGCACGAGTGAGTGGCGTCTCTCTTCCCTCTTGCTCTCCGACGCGCGTCGTCGCCGTTCGTGACGTGACAGCTGACACGCGACCTTGCGCGCCTGCGTTGTCGCCACGTCGTTCCTGCCTGCCTCCCCTCCGCAGACAAGTGCGACGTGTCCCAGTGTCGCGAGCATCCCCTCCTCAACACGGCCGCCTACGCCTACAAGGACTGCCAATACAGCCCGGCCGCCAAGGGATGCACGCCCCCGACCACCAAGTGGTCCAACACGGCTCCCGACACGAGCGTCTGCGGCTCCTCGGGCGGTCACGGCATGCAGGCCGACGTCAAGGGCTACGCCAGCCAGGACTGCCGCACCTGCTACAGCCAGTGGAAGTCGACCCCGGACCCCAAGTGCTACTCGGTCGCCAAGGTCGCAAACGCCGCCGCCGGTCCCCCGGCCAACTTTGAGAGCTACGTCCTCGGCAACCCTGAAAACAAGCAGAAGGTCCTCGGCATGTTCCCCAAGGGCCCGCCGTGCGACTGGGCCAAGGAGGCCGCCGGTGCTGGCGCTGGCGGTGCTGGTGGTGCTGCTGCTGGCGGTGCTGCTGGCGGTGCTGCTGGTGGAGCTGCTGGTGGTGCTGCTGGCACTGGCACTGGCACTGGCACTGGCACTGGCACTGGCACTGGCACTGGCACTGGCACTGGCACTGGCACTGGCACTGGCACCGACACGGGCACCGACAAGGGCAAGGGCACTGGCACCGACAAGGGCAAGGGCACTGGCACCGACAAGGGCAAGGGCACTGGCACCGACAAGGGCAAGAAGTCGGCTGGCGAGAAGAGCACTGCGGGCTCGGGCTCCTCGAAGAGCTCGAAGGAGAAGAGCAAGCCCAACGACCAGACCGATGCCGCATCGGGCGGCGACGGTGGCGAATCAGCCCCGATCTTCTGAGGCGGCTACGGCGGCGTTCTGCACGACTCCTTTGACCTTGAATCAGTCGAATGAAACTGGCCGCCACGCTCCCTCCACGCAGCTCGACGGCGATCCCCGGGTCTTGCCGATCGGTCCTGCCTGCCGCACCCTCACCGCTTCGACCCGCCTCTGCGCACTAGGTTCCCATCCTTCCCTACACCGTCGCACACCCTGCAATCCTATCCTACTACTCCTTCATCCCCTCTTGTCCTGCCCGACTGTGTCTGCGTCTTGCCGCGCGCACCGACCATCGGACTAAGCCGCCGACACGACTCCGGCGCCGCCCTCCGTGACTAGCCAGGCCCGCATCCTCGTGCTCTCCATCGACTCGCCAAACACAGCAACCCGGAATCGAACCGGGGGCCGATCTTGGCGCTGAGCAAGTTCACGACACGATCATGATTGACCCCCCTGGCGCCACGCGTGCTCTCCATCAGGCCTGCGTGCCCACCGAGACCAAGCGCCGATGTCAACGATGACGAACGTGACCGGTCACAGATTTTGCTCAGGTGCAGCCCCCAACCTCGCGGCATGCAAAAGAGCAGCTTGTCCCGTTACAGATTGCCAGATCATCGGTGTCCGTACCTGCGTCGGGCACGACGACAACGTTGGCCGTGGCATCGCGGACGCGTCGTCGTGGTCGCTTGAAAGATGCTTCCTCGACCACGCAAAAAAAAAAAAAAAAATACCCCCTATACCTCCTCGTAGCCCTCGCACTCGACAATAACAAAAAAGAGGGTCCAACCCGGAATCGAACCGGGGACCTCTGTCATAGAATACACGCTTTCTAGGCGTGCTGAAGCCCTAAGACAGCATAATAAGCCACTATACGATTGGACCCGCTGATGAAGGGAGCAGAGAATGATGAAAATATAAAAATTATTTATGCGTGCCTCGCCAAAATCCGGACTGCTGCCCTCCACCCGGCCTCCCTGGGGTCCGGCTCGGGCAACACCACCAGATGTTTTGCCATCAGCAAGGCCTTTGAACACCAAGACAACACCACCCTGATGCAGTAATCTTTCTCTCCTACTGTGAACTTCCAGCAGCAAGCAGCACATCAAGACTGACTGTGACCTGCATGCAATGGCACAGACAACGACGAGTTCAGGGTGTGGCAGACAGGCTATTGTTAGGCCGAGTTCCGAAGTGGGCAACGCACGGGAAAAAGACCGTTGCACCAGCTAGACCGCTGACTGGCAGGTCTAGCTGACAGGGCCATATAGACCCTCCCAGGCAACTCAGAACCGCACTGCTGGGGCTGCTGTAACAGCTATTTGCAGCTTGTCACCCACAGCACCCTCCAATTCAGCATGAAGGAATCCGGTCTGCACTTGTTTCAGAACCTGTCCAAGGCCAACTCCAAGCAGGGACATCCTGGCCCTAGCGCTCCGCACAGCCATGACTTGAGCGTCAATCAGCCTAACCTGCTCTTCATGTGCATGACTGCTGCAGGTCCCAACACATGTCTCCCTTGGTGGACCAAGGACACCAAGAAACATTCTCATGTGGAAGCACATAGGCCAAAGGAGGATCAACTGCATGTTGTTGGCCTGGTGCTTGGCTGATGGCGCTTGGTCAAGCTTGATGAGCAGACAGAGCTTGTTGCAGGAGTACACCTTGTTGACCTTGACATTGCCCTTGCGGCTGAGACCCTCCGCCTCGATAACAGCGGTGAGGTTGTTGTCAAGTTCAATGGCAACCTCCTTGCTGTACGTTACATGCTCGCCAAGCCTCTTGCAATGGCCCAGAGCAGGGCGTCCTGCCACTGGTGCACCGTCTTGACTTTTGGTGGCTTTCCTGCGAGCTTCTTCACCTTGATCTTCGATTTGAAGAACTTGCAGGCTCGATCTGCGAGTGAGGCGTTGCCAGGCACGTGATGAAACATGTGGACGTCGATCCCGGTGGCTTCCTTATACCATGACCCAACGAAGGTGATATATTTGTTGGGGATCGTGAATCGTCTTTCGAGCGTGGACTCGCTCTCCTTGAAGAAGGTGTCCTTTGCGATCTTGTTCTTGGCCCAGAGTTCCAGCCATTTTGCAAGGTCTGAACAAATACTGCCCTGACATCAGCTCTTCAAAGCTGCTAGGCAGACCACATTGATTGCACATGCCAAAGTTGTCCTGTATGCCTGCATCATAGAACCCAGAGGTGGAAGCCCTCATGTTGAAGCAGACTGCTCAGGCAGATGATGGACCAGAGGACCAAGGCCAGTCTCCTCCCCCTTCTCCTTGATGTCATCTACATGATTCAGGTCTACAGCAGGCCAAGAAGCAAGACCCTGTTGCTCTGTGCACATGGGGCCTGTCTCATCCAACTGAAGGCCCAGTTGTGCAAGGTGCAGCTGCCATTAAGCCCCCTGAAGGCAGCTGTTCACTGTTGCAGAGCCGCTGACAACAGCTGCTGCAACAGTCCAATTCCCCGTGAGGCCCTCTCGTGCATGCTTCCCTCATGCCTTTGCAGGGGGGGACATGTCAATAATGCCTCCACCCTCGACCGTCTGCAACAGTCAGCTGTCAAGAGCTGGTCGTTGTTGTCGCGCAGCTGTTGACCTCCACAAGGCCGGTCTCGCGAGGATCTTACCCACACTTGTGCATCAGTCGTGCCACTCGGCCTGACCTGACCCAACCCCAACGTTGCCTCAGTACCACCAACAGCGACCGCCGTTCGCTCGTCCTCGCTCTTGTCGTCTCTCCCACCTCCGTTCTCTTCCCCCCTCGCCCGACGATGACGACTCGACCGCCCTACGTCGCGACGCTGCTGGACCGGCCACTCCCCACGCTGCACCTGTCGAGCCTGAGCGCCTCGTCGAACCCGCCCTACGATGCGCAGGTGCAAGCGTCGATCTCGGACGGGCGACACCACCCGCTGCTCGAGGTGACGCTGCACCTGCTCAACTCGGATCTCTTTTCGGCCCACTTCCTCGTGCGCAAGATGGAAAAGCAGGACGTGGCAAAGTGGCTCCACTCGTTCCTCCACGCCGTCGAGGGCGACCTGCGCAACGCCCGGTGCTGGATCCGCGATACTCCCCCCGACGTACTCGCCATCACCGTCGACGACCCCGAGCGAGAGGCAGGGAGACAGGAGGGCCACGACAATGACAGGGAGAAGAGGCAAGAGTACCGCCGCATCGACGTCTACGCCTTTCTAAAGGGCATGACGCCGCAAGAGGTGCGGGATCAGTACGAGAAGGCCAGCGTCGAAGTCGACCTTCGACCCGACCTCGCCCACCTCGAGACGCTGCACGGCCAGGTCACGGCAGACCGGCAGGCACGGACCGAGAGCGACGAGGGGCTCCGGAAGCAGCGCTGGCACCAGCTGGTCAATATGCTGCACCACCTCGAACGGCGGTACGGCTACCAGCCCTACGACGGCACCGTCGCCTACGACTCCAAAGAGGAAAAGCAGCACACCACGACCATGGTCCTCGGCGAAGGGTGGCGGCGCTTCTGAGGGGGCGTGGGCCCGCGGGTATCCTCGCCTTGCCTGGCCTGGTCTCGTGCTGATCGTTCGCGCATCGATCCGGGGCCGCTCTTCATCGCCCGCTTGGCGCGTGTGTCAGGTACAAATACAGTGCGGGTTCCCGCTCTCCTCTGACCACCGCGGGTCCCGCTCTCCTCTGACCACCGCGGGTCAGCGCCGCGAGTTGAAGTTCTGGGTGACCTCGAAGCGGTCCATGATCTCCTCGCTGGCGGCGCTCATCTCGCTCGCCATGCGGTGCACCTCGGTGCCCGGACGATTGTAGATGAGCGAGTTGGCAAACATCTGGTTGAGGGCGCGCCGCAGCTGGCTGGCCGACCGGATCGTGCCTTCCTTGATACGCGCCTTGATCGTCTTGAGGTCGAGCGGGTGCCGGATCAGGGTGTAGTAGTCCGGCGCGTCCTGCTCCTTGATGGCGTTGTGGAACAGGTTGCCGTGCGTGTGGTTCGACACCTCGGTCAGCAGCATCAGCAGCACCTGCGTCGTCTTGCGCTTGGCCTTTTCCCGCTCGGCCGACGTCGGCGCCGTCGAGACCGAGGCCGAGTCTTCGCGCCGGCCGGACTCGTCCTTGATCGAGACCCCGCCGCTGCCGCTGGGCCCGCCGGGCGTCGACGCTGGCGAGTCGCGTGCCCTGCTCCGCGCCGACGTCCGCGAGGCGCTGTTGTACCGGTTGCGGGCGGGCGTGCTGCGCCACTTTGCCCCCACGGCGGCCGTCTCGGCCTCGTCGCCCGGCTCCTCGGATTTCGTCGCAGCGGTGGCGTCTTCGGCATCGCCGTCGGCGTCGGCCTGCGCTGAAGCCTCGTCCTCGTCCGCGTCCTCGTCCTCATCCTCGCTTCCTTTGTTCTTGGCTGCCGTGCCTTCGTCGTCGTCGATGTCGTCGATCTTTTCTTCCTTGATCTTGGCACCGGCCTCATCCTGTGCGGCGGCCACTGGCTCGGGATCGCGGCTCTCGTCTGCCTCGCCAGACGGTCCAGCGGCGGTCGCTTGCGATCCCTCGACCTCCTGCTCCGCTTCGGCGACCTCTCGCTCAGCGTCGGCCTCTTCCTCGGTCGCTGGCGCCTCGTCGGGGCGTTTGACAGGCACCTCGACGACCACATCGTCGGCCCCGTCGTCCATCTCGTGATCGTCGTCGTCGTCGTCGTCGTCGTCGTCTGCAGCTCTCTCGACCTCGACCTCGCCACTTGCGCTTGCCTTGGGCTCTTCGTCTGCCGATACGCCCTTGTCCGGCGACACCGGCTTGTCTTGTGCATCGCCGCTGCGGGGAATAGGCTCGCCGATCAGGTCCTTTTCGACGTCCATCTCGTCTTTGCGGTCGCCGTCCACGGGCGAAGGCGACGCCGGAGGCTTGCTCGGCTCGGCACCGGTCTTGACTTCCGACGAGCCGGCGGGCTCGCTCTCGACGGGAGCCGGCCGCGTGGCATCCGGTCGTGTGGCATCCGGTCGTGCGGCATCCGATTGTGCGACATCGACGTCGGCCATTTCCAGGTCTTCGGCAGGTGCCGCCTCTGCGGCCTTGCCTTCCTCTTCGTTGCCCTTGGAGCGCTTGCTGGGATGTTGCGAGGCGGTCGACGACTCTCGAGCCCCTTGCTTGCTCGCCTGGGCATCGCTGGCATCCGGGCCGGCGGCAGCCGACGTCGTATCGGCGGGCGAGTCGGCTGTCGCGTCTCGCTTGCGCTTGACGCCAGCGTTGGCAGGCTCCTGCTCTTGCTCGCCGCTCTTCTGCGGTGCCTCGGCCGCTTCGGCGACGGTGCCCGCCTGCTTGCTCGACTCTTCGACCGTCGTGGCTGCCGGTCGCTGCAAGGACGGCTCCGAAGCTACGACGGGCGGCGCGACGGCGTCAGCCTTTGATGCGTCGGCCGCTGCTCCCTCGGCTTCGGCGGCGAGCTGCAGCTTGGTTTCAGTCTCGATGACCTTGTCGACCGCAGCCTGCACTCTCTCCTCGAGCTTGGCCGCGTCTACGCCAGGGGCAGTTCCGGATGCGATCAGAGAGGATGCCGCAGAGGCAGCCTCGGGGGCATTGCTGGTGACGATGGCGGCGGCGGCTTCGGTTGCCGATGGCACCGGCGCAGCGGTGGTGATCGGAGCGCCTCCGGGTGCCGTCGAGGGAGCCGGGGCGGATGTGGGAGCGGTGGTGACCGCTGTGGCAGCGCTCGACTGCGCCGGCTGGGACGTTGCTGCGCCTGCCGGTGCCGACGTGCTGGGACCTGCCTGGGTCGCCGTTGCTTCGACGCCATTCGCAGCAGCAGTAGTAGGCTGCTTTGTGGGGGTCGCGTCGATGCTCGCGCGTCGATCGGCCTTCTTGGACCGAGGCTCGCTGCCCTTTTTGCTGGCGCTGTTGGGCCCGCTGCCCGTGGGGTCGCTGCGCGGCGAGATTTTGTCCGAGGGCGTTGCCATCGACTCGCCCCGGGCCCGACCGGTCTTGGGCGTCTTGTTGGCCTTGGGAGTGGTGAGTGCCGAAGCGGTGGCAGATGCCGGCGCGGCGCTGGGCCCCTTTGCGAGGTTCTCGAGCTCGATGCGGAGCTCCAGCTCGAGCTTGGGGTCGGCCTTGCCGGACTTGATGTCGTCGATCTCGCGGATGAGGAGCTTGAACTGCTGCTCCTTTTCCTTGATCGACTCCTTGAGCTCTTCGATGCGCTCGGCATAGATGAGCTTGGCGAGTGCGAGCTGCGACTTTCGGTCCATCCTGGGTTGCGCTCCCCTGGCCTCCTTCTGCTTGGGCGTCGTCTCGGACGAGGCGCCCGCGGCGGCGGTCGAGGATGCGGGGGCGGTGGAGGCGGCAGCGGCAGCGATCGACTCGTCTCTGGACAGGACGAGGCCGCGCTGCCTCATGAGAGCGGTCCACGCGCGCTCGCACTCGCGCGTGCCAAAGATGCGGCCGAGCGTGAGCCCGGCATTGGCGGCCTGTTCGAGGCGGGACTGCTGGCGGATGAGCGGGTGGGAGAGGAGGAGGGAGGATACCTTGCCCCAATCTGGTGGCGAGGTGCCGATCTCGTGGACCGCCTGCGCGAGGAGCAGCTTGTCTCGCAGGGAGAGCTTTGCGAGTGCGGATGGCTGGGGCACGCCGGGCGAAGGAATGGTGGGGCCGAGCGGCTGTGCGGTCGACGTCTGGGCCGGTTGCGATGGTGGTGGTGGTGCTGTGGTCGTTGAAGGCTGTTGCATCTGTGGCTGCGTCGAGGATGTCGCTGGCGCTGGTGCTGGTGCCGGTGCTGGTGGTGGTGGCTGCGGGGCTGACGATGAAGTAGCGGGTGCTTGCGTCATGGCGGAGCGAGTCGGCCTGCCACCAGAGGCAGGCTCGCGGGGCCAGAAAAGGGAGGCTGGATGACCGGGGGTATGCTATGAAGGGAGGGGGGGGGTGGCCAAGCTGCTGGCGGTGGCGGTGGTGGACGTGGCGATGGTGGTGGTGGACGTGACGATGGCGGTGGTGGACGTGACGATGGCGGTGGTCGAGGCAAGGGAGTCAGGATCAGGAGGTGGGGGGCGAGTTGGCCCGTCTCCCGAGAGCACGAGCCCCGCAAGAAGCCCTCGAACCCTTCTGCATCCAAGCCTGCCGGCCACGCTGCTGGCTGCTGCCTCTGAAGCAATACGTCGACGGCGCCGTCCGTCCGTCCGTCCGTCCGTCCGTCTCTTCGATCTCGGTTCGTCCCTGCCCTTGGAACCCCCCACTTCTTCCCCCTGCCTCCTCTCCGTCCGCCGCCATCGACGTCTCGGTCATCCTCGCTCGCAATGGCACCCACGTCCAGAGCACCGGCCGCAAATGCGCCAGCGCCCGCCGTAGAGGGACAGCAGCAGCCCACCACTGACACCGCCGCCGCCGCCGAAATCTACGACGACAAGGACGAGGCCTACTTTGGCTACTATGCCCTCCTCAGCCACCAGGCGCAGATGCTCCAGGACTCGGTGCGCACCGCCGTCTACCATCAGGCCATCAACCACCACGCCGCACAGTGCTTCCAGGACAAGCTCGTCATGGACGTCGGCGCCGGCAACGGCATCCTCTCCTTCTTCTCAGCCCAGGCCGGCGCTCGCAAAGTGTACGCCGTCGAGGCCTCCAACATGGTAGACTATCTCCACAAGGTGCTCCGCGCCGCCGGTGGGTCAGCCGGCGGATCGGACAAGGCCAACGGGCGCAAGCAGCCGCAGCGGCGATCGCAGCAGCAGGTCGGCGGTGACAATGATGATGACGACGACGGCGACGACGACGAGCAGGACGACGAGGGCTACAGTCTCGGCGGCCCAAGCACGTCGACTTCGACGGCTGCGGCGGCAGCAGCGACAGGGTCCCGGCCGCCGCGGAACGCCTTCCTCGCCGACACCCTCGTCCCCGTCCACTCCAAGGTCGAGGACGTGACGCCGGATCACCTCGAGGGCAACCAGCAGGTCGACACCATCGTCTCCGAGTGCCTCGGCGTGCTGCTCGTCCACGAGAGGATGTGCGAGTCGTTTATCGACGCGCGCGACCGCTTCCTCAAGCCGGGCGGATCCGTCTTCCCCAGCGCAGGCACCATCTGCCTCGCTCCGTTCGAAGACAAGGCGCTCTGGGACGATACCGCCAATAAGGCGCGGTGGTGGCGTAACAGCGTGAGCATGGTTGCTGTCGGAGGCGCAGCATGGCGAGATCCGATGCTAACCTTTGCCGTCCCCCTAATTATGACACGGCGGCCGCCCGCAACCTGACAGGACTTCTACGGCGTCGACATCACGCCCTTTGCGCCCGCCGCCTTCAAGGAGACGTTTTCCTCGCCCATTGTCGGCGTGTTCCAGCCACAGTGCCTGCTGAGCGTGTCGAGCGACTTTGTCATTGACTTCGCCACGATCTCCAAGTCGGAGCTGCAGGACTTTACCATGCCCCTCGAGTGGACCTTTGTCCAGCCTGCCATCGTCCATGGCCTCGGAGGGTGGTTCGACCTGCATTTCAACTCGCAGTCTTCCGCCACCGCCTCGTCTGCATCGATGTCGTCGTCGTCCTCGTCCTCGTCCAACGATGCCGCCGCCGCCGCCAGCCACGCGGCCAACGCCTCGTCGACCACCCTCGGCCAGATCCAGCTTCCTGCCACGGATGCGGATCGCGATGGCGACGCGACGATGCAGGATCACGCGTCTTCGAAGCCAGCAACGACGGCGAGCGCACTGAGCGGGAGCGCGCCGGACTTCCAGCCCGCGTTGGAGCTGAGCTCGAGCGCGGTCGACGTCGAGACGATACGGGCAGCGGCGGCGTCTGCCTCGTCGGCCAGCAGCACGGCCGTGCCTTTGCCGCCACTGGCGACGACGACAGCCTCTGGCGGCCAGTTTATGTCGACCAGCCCGTACGCCACGCCGACCCACTGGCAGCAGGTGCGCTTCCTGTTTTCCGACCCGGTCGCCGTCAACAAGGGCCAGAAGCTGGTGGGTTCCATCCGGTGCCGGGTCAATGACTCGCGGTCCTACACCATGACGGGCCGATTCGACATTCTGCGCACCGACGGGACGGCCGACCCGCTCCTCCAGCGCAAGGGGGCGTGGAGGCTGGACCGCCAGACGTACTCCTGGTCGTAGCGGGCAGGCTAGCGCAGGCGGCGGCAACGGCGGCACCAGAGCAGCGCGCAATCAGAACAGTCGTGTGGCCATCTCTCATTCAGAGCCGAGGTATACAGCGGGATGGCGGGACGAGGATGTCACAGAGGGAGGGCGCTTGAAGTGAGGAGGCGCCGTCGCCACTTTGGAGTGGTTCGATGAACAGGAGCGGCTGCAGGCAGCGGCACGAGGTGTTGTACAAGAAAGGGTGGTGACGATGCGAGCCTGTCGATGCATCGCAGTCCGTGCGAAAACAGCAGGTGATCCGAGACCGACTTGAGGCGGGGGCCCGGTTGTGCGTCGCGGTCCGGCGCTAGCTTGCTGCGACCGGGCATCGGCGGCGCGCGAGGTGCAAATCACTAGGCGGACTCGATGGGCGGCGCACCCGACGGTGGCGCGATGGCGGGGAGGAGGCAGGGATCCGGCATGGCTCTTGCGACGAGGCTGCCGACTTCTGCGCCCCTTGCGTATCGGCTGAGGACGATGAGGACGCCGATGAGAAAGACGAATGCGTGGAAGAAGGGATGGTTGACGGGGCAGGCCATCTTGTGGCGGATCAAGGGCGAGCGAGGCGGCGATGCAGAAACGACGGCGAGAGGGACGAGGTGGTCAAGGTGACCTGCCTGCTTTGCGAGCGAGGGCTGGGATGCTGTCACGGACCGGCCGTTGGATGAAGAGGTGAGAGCGAGCTGCAGCTGCGGCTGTGATGGTGGCGATGGTGGTGGTAGTGGTGGTGGTGGTGGTGGTGGTGGTGGTGGTGGTGATGTTGGCAGCAGGAAGCGTCAAGCGACCAGGAGAGCAGCTGTAGGCGCCCAGGTGAGGTGAGGTGGGGAGGGGGAAGGGGGTGACCCGACGCTGGTGGTTGCCCGGAAACCACGACGACAGAAGCGGCCAGAAGCACGCACCCCACCCAGCCGCCTGCCTGCTGGCCGCTCTTTCAGGGTTCAGCTGGCTGCCTGCCTGGTTGCCTGCCCCTGCCGCCGGCTGCCGAGATCCGGGCGCTGGCTGGCGTGATTGAGGCAGGGTCGAGGCGGACCAGCGAGCTTCAGCTCGATTTCGGTTCCGACGGGGCCAGCCAGCCAGCCAGCCAGGCGAGGCCGATCGCAAGCCAGCCGTCGGTGGCTGTGCGTCGAGCCAGGCTGCTGGCCAGCCAAGCCCCCGCCGACCGACCGACGTCAGCCGAAGCGGGCAGCTGCTGCTGCTGCTTGGCCCCGACTCCACATGCAGCCTGCCTGGCCCAACTGTAGCCTGCTGGCTGCTCACCTGCCTCTTGCCGTTCCCCTGCATCTCCTACTTCCCTCACGCACGGCCTCATTCGCAACCACCATTCCCGCCGCCCTTCATCAACCAAAGTCGATCAACCCATTCTACTCGCCGGCGCCTCTCCCGCCATACGCAACAGCGACAGCACGCTGCAAGACCGCCTTCTTGGCACCCGCTCAACCCCGTCTCGAACGCTAGCCTAGCCTACAACCCTCGCCATGAACGCCGATCTACAGGCGGCCATCCAAAAGGGAAAGGGACTCAAGAGTGAGTGATGGGTCAGCGACATTGGCCACCATCGCATTTTACGGCGCCATCCACCGTCACTGACAGCTCTCCCCCTCTCTACATCTCCCTCCGTGCGTGCAGAGGCTGTGACCAATGACAGGTCAGCACCACAAGTCGACGCAGCCTCCAAGCCCAGCGGAGGCGGCGGAGGAGGAGGAGGCGGTGGTGGTGGTGGCGGTGGCGGCGGAGGGGGAGGATCGCTTGGAGGCGGCATGGGCGGTGGACCACCGGGTCTAGGCGGCCTCTTCGCCGGCGGAATGCCCAAACTCAAGCCCGCCGGAGCTCCTGCTGCTCCTAATCTCAGCCTCGGTGAGTGCTGGCCCTTTGGTCGTCCGTCAGCTGCGACGCCGAGAGCTACAGCGCTGACCCGGACATCATGACATCTCCTCTCACCTCCCCGACAGGCAAACCTCCGAGTCGTCCAGGCGCAACGCCCTCCCGGCCCACGCCTCCGCCTCCTTCAGCCGCTGCACCGCCTCCCCCGCCGCCGCCACCGGCAGGAGGAAGACCCATGCCT